GCGGACACACATGCCACAAGCTTCTGGGTCATGTTGGCTGGTCTGCTGCTCCGCACACAGCTCAAAGACGCTCTCCGATTGGTCAGAAACTGGACTGGAAGACTATGGGGACGACCTGGAAGAATAGAGAGACAGTCATTCGCATCCTGTTGATTTTTTAATTTTTTTGGGAGGGGGCGGGGGGTTGTTTTTCTGTTTGTTGTTGTTTTTTTGTAAAGGGTTTTTGACCAATAATTTGATAATTTTCAGAAAGGTGAGAAATTTTCTTGAAATTAATTTATTAGCGACAGTTTTAGAGGCTTTAAATGTGATCTGCAGTAAACAATACTGCAGTTTGACCCCGAAAGCAGGGCATCTGTGTACGGGAGTGAAAGTAAACATTTACCATACTTTTAGAAACCCCAAACTAATATAATTGGAATAAATCTTCAATAGATATATTGTATCACCATCTGATAGGTTATTTTCTAACCTTCAGTTTGATGGGCCATATGATTGATATGGTTTGTGTGTGTTTAATTGGATGTTTTGACATTTTCCTTGGTTAGTGGGGTAGGGGGGGCAAAAATAGGTCAGGGAAAAGCCCAGGGCCTGTGGTGGACTTTGGCCAGGGGCACCTATATTCTCACCCCTGGTAAGAATAGCTCATGACCCGTTATTCTCACCCTCACCCCGGTGAGGACATGAGGCGGGGACTCCCCCCCCCCCCCCAGCCACTTCCATTTCCTTTCGAACCCAGGAATGTGTGTGTAGGCCTAGGGCTAAAGAAAGTTACTCGTTATTACTTATACTTATCAACTAATCTAGATATCTAGATTTCTCTAGATCTAATGAGCGGGGGTTGGATCTATATAACTTATTCATGTCATGTGTTCGCAACACATTATGAATAGAAAGCTAAAGATAGAGCGTTGTTTTCTGACTTGACACAGCTTCACACGGTGGCAATAATAGACGCTAGATTCTAGATCTAGAGTCTAACCAGGTCACTGCGCATCTGTTTTGGTGCGCAACCCCCGGTCTCCTGCTTTGTTTTGGATAAGAACAGCGAAAACGAGGTCACTTTCTGTGAGCATGCGCAGAATGCAGCTTATTTCACTTTCGTTTTCGAGGTTCCCGTCAACACACGTGATTCTACTGTGTCGGAAAGTTTTGCCCATTCATATTAATGGTTTTCGTAACCGGTATCGGTGAATTTACTAAGCGCTTGAGTACTCGATTATTTAGCCCATCTAGTTAAACTAGCTCTAATGTATCGTAGATATACTAGAATCGATAAATACTATCGCAGGCTGCTTCTTAATGCCTAGGAACATGCCAGATAGGGTTGCGCACTGAAGCAGACCAAATTTGTGCAGTCCGTTTCAGTGCGCAATATTGGCTTTTTTGCTATTTGGCATTGATAGTGTGGCTTCTAGGCCCTTTGTTTGTTTTACTTATTAAGTTATTTCTTTATGACCTGCATTGTGCACAGAAACAGACTGTTTCCCTTCCATTTGGATGCATTATATTGCCATTGGAAGATGATAAGTTAATGTATTCATGTCAAAATTAATTAATATGGAAATTTAATCTCCAAAATGTTCAATTTCTTCTTTTCATGTCTTTTTCTTCTTTTTTGTCCTTTTCCTTAAAGAATACTAGTCTAGGTATAGTCTAATTCTTGTTTTCTTCTTTCACCTCCTTGTGTCCACAGCACCTTTCTTTTTCAATTTCTTCTTTTCACATCTTTTTCTTCTTCTTTTTTGTCCTTTTTCTTCTTCTTTTTTGTCCTTTTTCTTCAAAAATACTAGTCTAGGTATAAAGATCTAGTCTTATTCTTGTTTTCTTCTTTCCCCTTCTTGTGTCCACAGCACCTTTCTTTTTATCCATTATCAAAACACATACCCACGGTGTAAGGAAATCTCCTGTTAGGGGGCGCACAGCCTCATTGACCTTGGCCTTCCATTATGGTCAATACAGGAACTTCTTGCAAGGAAAAGAAGACAAGGCCAGGATAGAGAAAGATGAAAAGTGTCAGAAAAGAGCTAGATCTAGATCTAGAGCTGTAAACATGGTACTATTGCGCACCCAACAAGACGATATGTTGCACCAAACCAGAAAATGTTACAGTAATGCGCTACACCGTATAGAGAGGAAGTTTTTCTAACTTCTGATGAAAAAATCATGAAGATCGACCTGTAACTTCCAGAGATATCCACAAAAGATCACTTACTGTATCTATCGCACCACAGGATGTACTCTAGAATCTAGATATCTAGATCTAGATCTCTAGATTTTTTTTTAGATCTACAATCTAGATCTAGAATCTAGATATAGATCTAGAATCTAGATATAGATCTAGATCTAGATCTAGATCTAGATTCTATATTCTAGATCTAGATTTGTAATGTAAACACAGTAACAAGGTGGCTCCACCAAAGTTAAATCCGGCCAGTGAATGGTGATCCTGAGTATTTTCGGGTATCCTAGATCTATGTTATAACAACAAGATTATACAAATACCATCAGTGTTCAACTCAGCCCACTTTTCAGGATAAAGTTCCGCGTGAACCCAATGTTGATATCGATAATAGGTTATCAACTGTTAAGCTTACACAACAAGTTTCCCAAAAGCCCAAAAGAAGCATAATGGGAAAACACTGAAAACGTGGAACGCCAACAATACTATAGAAAGCAAAAAGTGAACAATTTCTTTCAACCACACAGTACTCACTCGTCTCCTTCAATCTCGTCGGCGTCCATTTCTTCGTCTTTGATTTACCGTCGTCAGTCTGTCAGTCCACTTTCGATGCTGAATGCAGGAGAGTGGAGGGAGACTGGAGGGAGACCGGAAGTGTCACAGTCACAAAGAGGACACGAAGATCTTGCGAAATGAAGGTAGAAAAGGGAGTATCAAATCACTGTAGGCCACAGAATTCTAGGCCTTGGCCTACCGATGAGGGTGGCAAATAGAACTGGTGGCTTGGCCTAATTAAATAATACACATATTATTGAGTTTCTCTTTTCTAACCTTTCCAACTTCAAGACGGGTGACTTAGAAGTGGTAGATTGATCTACTTTACTTATTGTACCCAAAAATCATGATCATGCCTGCCACCGACCACCGTTGACTGCCACTTTGCTTTAACGGGCGATGCACATAATATTATGATACGAGAAATGTTCTAGGGGTTTGACTTTCTTTCAGTTTTTTCAAGTAATATAAGTTAAATATGGTCAAATTAGAAAAATCATGACGGAATTTTTTTGAGTTTTATGAAAAAGTTGGCCTCTGTGGCGGTCATCTTGGATTTTTGGCCATATTGCGGGGACAGACGCTTTCCACATAAAAAAATTGGAAGTTAAGCCCCAAACTTGCACAAATACACAAACACATATTATCGGTGATCAGGGGCAAAGATTTATTTCTGACATGAAAAATAAGAAAAATATCCATATATCACCGCGCGACTTCCGAAAAATACGAGTACAATGATAAAAAAAATATATACATGTGTATAATATAAAATATTTCTAAAAGCAATCCATATTTCGAAAAATCCTTGCCTGTGATCACAAAACAAACTATACTGCACATTTCTCCCAAATATCATATTATTTGTAGCTTAGATAGCAACAGAAAAACGATTGCCACCGTGTGGGCACCAATGTAAAAAAAAAAGTCATTTCTGAGAAAAACGCAAAAAATGATTTGAGAACGTCAATTAAGTTAGAAAAGTGTTGTTTATGAAAATAATAAATTTGATTTTTTTTTAAGTTGGCCCATTTCTCTAATATATTATTAAATGGAGCTGATCAGGTTGTTGGTTCATTTCTTTCAGAAGTTACCATTCAACAACAGCACTCTCAAAACTACCTTAATAAAATTTCAGCTCTGCCCTTGACCAGCTACAAACAAATCAGTAGAGCCTACAATCGTTGAGTAAAACAATCCAAAATTACACGAACACACACAAATACACACAAAAAACAACAAAGCAAACACACACTTACATACATACACGACACGCACTCACACATTGATTGATGTGTGTGTGGGGAGGGAGGGGATGTGTTTGTGTGTGTTTATTGCGTACCCAAATTCTGACGAAATTCAAACAAATGCTTAATCTAGTCTACCAAAAAAACCTGCCAAAGATAGAGTAAAATAATTTAGGAAAATTAGGACCATGCTTTTAGATTTAGTTTCACAAAGTTACAGGAGAATCCCACATTCGTTACAGAAAAGTCCTTAGTGGTCAAACATGTGCTCTTTGTGGCGGCAGTCCTGAGAGACACACTCCCTTGCTCGGCGTTGAAATATATGATTTATTACCGTCTGCCACTGCAGATGATTTTTCGAGCAATGTGCTCCATGTTTTGTCTCAGTTCACAATGGTTGGGAAAAGTCTGGACACACATTTGCCCCAGAGATGGAAGTCCAACGGGTTCAGGTTGGGATAGTATGAAGCACAGGCACAATATATACCGCGACTTCTGTTGAAGTGATTCTGGTTCCGCTCGATGACCGGAGCTGCAGTGCGATCCTTCTTGCTTGAACCACGGTCGTTTCCGCTCCTGAGGTCCAACATAATCTTCCCAATGATCTCCAACTTCAACGCAGATCAAGAATCTTCAGATAACGATCTATTCCACTGTTACTATGTCATAGTCTTCCGCCATGATGAACCAGTTCGGACCAATGAGTCCTTCTGCAACCCACGCATTCTGTGTGCACAGATTTCGGTCAACAACGTTGTCTGGTCTTTCTGAACTCCAGTGAATGTCATTTCTTGTGTTCACGTCTCTCTTCAAGTAAAATTGGGCTTCATCAAAGAACCGCTCATTCCATGAATGAATTATCGCATTAGCATGCTCCTCAAGATTCCACAATATAGACATCGTTTGATCCGTTCCCTGGCGTGGGTACAAGAAATGACTGGGTATAAAAAATATATATATCGAGGCCGAGTATCAAAATTTCATTAACAAACATTTTAGAAACATGGAAATCCACTCACCGACGACGAACCATGCCGTTCCACTTTTCAAGGATAGTGTTGTTTGTTGATGGCAGACTACAACTCATCCTATTGTTGATTTTCGATGATAAGATGTTTTTGTATGAGGCATGCCATTTTAACTTATTATCCCATAGTGGGTCTCAAGAAACTACTATTATCCAGTTGCCCCTCCCCTTTACGTGTCCATGATTGAGAGGTTTCCATCTCCTATCGAGTTCCCCCGCCTTTGTCGTTAAACACCGCTACGTCTTGACCTCACCAATTCAAATTCAGTCTCTCTCGCAAATTCGGGAGCAGAGACTCAACTGTTTGCTGCAATGGATATGGTCAGGGAAGAGTACACAGTTCGATGTGATCCTGCATGGGTCGAAGTTAGGTGGAGAGCTCAGATGCGAGTGCGATGTGTGGGGGAAACTAACGTGTCGGTCAGTTCACACCTCGGTGTGATCCCGTCTATGGCGGCAAACATTGTGCCGTTTCATCGAGTTTTACAACGCTTGTGATCACATTCACGAGGGTGGCTGATCTTTGACACGACGGGCAGTTCAATGATCTCAACTTTTCACTCTTGATAGATCGGCTGTGGCCGCCCGGGCGTTTGTTCCGTAAATTAAGATCTGAAATCCCGCATTTCATAAGATCAGATCGATCACAGGATAAGATTTCATGATCATAAGATCAGATCTTGGCCGAATGTAGAACTTCAGAGTGAAACAGAGCGGGATCTTTTGGGTGACTTTTGTATAGATCTAGTAACAATTCTATTTTCTGGAAACAACGGGATCTTAAACGAACCGGGGTCGTACACGGTGGGATCTTAGGCGGAGACTATATAATATAATTTTTTATAAAAAGAAATCCGCATTTTTCAACTTACTAATTTTAGAATTTGATGTCAATTGTGTAACAAATAACTGTAAAGAACTTTTGTTTGAATTTCACCAAAGTTGGAACAACAGGTGCAGTGTGTGTGTGTGTGTGTGTGTGTGTGTGTGTGTGTGTGTGTGTGTGTGTGTGTGTTTGTATCTGTGTGTATGTGTATGGAAACGTTTTATATTTTTGTTTATAGTACAATGTAGAGGGTTTTACGGCGCTCGCAACTGCATAAGGTCATATGAGCGCCATGGGGTGGGTGTCAACAGAGAAGTATTTACAGGGAATCAGACTTGGGACTGCTCACCTCTCTAGCTTCAACAGCACAAGGTCTGCTTCAACTGTCAAGGCACCCCCAAAACAGCAGGTCACAAGAGAGTGACAAACATACAAAAGAAGTAGAGGAAAATGACAATAGCAAAGATCAGGAAAGAAAAAGCAGCAGTTCCCTGTTGTAGATCAGGCACAGTTATGACCGTGACATGAGTCAGCCCATTTACAATTCTACTATGCTTGAATGAGAAATGTCCCCCCTTTGGGAATGGCCTAAAGACACTTCAGTCAGTGGCACTGTCCCGGGGGTATGTAAACGTTGTATATTATGTATATGTGCATAATATACGTATACATAATATCAGCGTCTGTGGTGTAGCGGTCATGCGCTTTTCCGTCGCACGCAGAAGACTCGATTTTGATTCCCAAGTAGAGAGAATTTTTATTGAGTACCGGTATCTCAGTCTTTCGTCTGGGATGTATCGTTATCAGCCCAGGTTGGCGACAGTAGTGACAGGCAGGATCGGAAGCTCGCCTTCTAAATGATCCAAGTTGTGTTAATGGAGGTGAGAAAACACCTATCTTTCAAAATGTAAATACAGTATATTAAGTATAATAGTATAATATT